CGTTTATTCTAGGTCGCAAAGTTGTGGTTCTGATGCAGAACCAACTCCCAATTTCGTGGTTATGTTCGTCCGGATCACGTTTGGATAACGGGCCGAGTCTTGCCGATGCCCCTATATTACACGGTCCAAATCCTCCAAGCTCTTCGCCTTTGGCCCACAAAGACCAAAGCTAATTCCATAGGCGTCTGATGTGAAAATCACTTGATTTGATGAACCGTCTGATTAAATGAATGGCGGGGCAGCACCCGGCGTCTGGGTCTTCTCCGAGGCGCTGCGAGAGGGCTGGCGTGAACAATGTCTCCAATATGATGCCCATTGAACGATGCAAAAAAAAAAGCGATCCGCAGCAATGCCCCGGGAGGAATAGAACCTCCGTACACTATAGAGAATATTACCACATGCGGGCGACGACCCTTCGTCTACGGGGGCGTGTCTCGGTGTTTTGGAACTCGGATAGTCGAGCAATCCTTTTAATTTCGCTCACAGTCGGCACGGCAACCCGCTGGCCTGCGTGACGGATTTCCGCGGTCGGTGCACGCAGCATATGCGTGCCGGACTCTGTTGTTAAGAAAGTAGAACTCGGATGCCTTAGTCAACTTGCATAGGTTTCGGTTTGCGGATATAACTTGGACCCGAAGGGATAAAATCTTGGAGACGCACTGCCGCCAGAAAGACTGACCTCTATCGGGTGAGGGTTATCTTAGGCCTCCCAGGAGTCACGACATCCAGAACCCACGAGCCCAATCAAAAAACCTGTTGCCTAAAAAAAAAAGTGCTGTCTCTCCATAGGGCAAACTCGACCCCCCACTCCCCGAATTATAGTGTTGCTCGCTTTTCTTCCATGACGCCAGAAGCGGGCGACGTCCCATTCGTCCACGGGGGTTCGTATCTCGGGATTGGGATTTGGGTAGGTCTGATCTTAGTTACGTCTTGTCGCGCAGTGGGCGCACATCCCTTGAGAACGGGGAGAGCCAGGTACAAGTGTGAGGCATTTGGTGGCTTTGACGTTGAGACGCGGGGGGTTGGAGGGCTCCCGAGGAGCAGGCACGGATTCCGAGAGCCAGGACGTTAATTGGTAGAGCAGACCGAAGACAGGGGCGGTTCCGGAGAGGCATAGCAGAAGGAGCCCTCGACAGCGTGTAACTTCCGCCTCCGAGTGCGGCGCAGCGTGAGTGAATAAACCACTGATCGGAGGCAAGCAGTACAGGAGTACCTACAGCCTCCGCACATCGACGCGGCTGTACAAGTCAGTCATGTTGAAGTCTTGGAGGGACGGGTGCACGAAGCGTAGTACGGAAGATAAGCTTTGAACAAGGGGCGTCCAGGAACGGCATATTAGACAGCGGATCTGGAAGAGGGAGGGAAGGCCAGAATTCCGGAGTGGGACGAGAAGGGTGCTGATCGTGGAGCTTGAGCTGGCTTCCTTCCCCACAACACGCGAGATAATAATGGCGCGATTCTGCAAGGGTGCGCGCAGATAACTTCATGGGAGGGGAAGGGATAGGCGAGTAGACATGATATGGCAAAGCTAACGCGGCACGAAGATGTTGCTAGAAGCCGTTTTGGCATCAGCTGCTCCTTCTCCGATCGACGATGTTTTCTTAGTGAGCTAAATGCTTAGGAATGTGCACGATGAAAAAGGTGGGGTCGCAAAGCGGAGGGTGTCGTGATTTTCGCCGGTGATTCAACGGCAGCAGCATAAACATGCATCCAGTCCTGAGGCGGAGGCGGTAGGAACGAGCTGGCCCGGGATGCGCAAAGCAGTAACAAATCGAGGGGAGCTGTTGGGCTTCAGGGTGGTATCGGGTTTTGAGAGCTTAAGCGCGGGCGGAGTCCGAGCGTGGAATGCAGCTAATCTCGAGCGCGCATGAAATGACGACGTTGGTTGGGGTAGTTTGGGTTGTCGGTGTGTGGGACGGGAGTGGGGGACAGCGGCGTCGCGGGGATGGTCGGAGTCACGCGTGTGAAGTGCGCACCGACAGGGCATCAGGAGTGCTGCCGCATAGGGTGGAGATCAACAGTAGCAATACATGAGCGCCGATAGTTCATCCGCGACGAGGGACTGACGTGGCAGAGACTTGAAAGATCCGCCGCAAACGATCACTGGTGGGATGCCGAAGGGACCTTCGGCGGCGGTTGGGCAACGCAGAAGACCAAGGAAGCACGGAGAGATTTGGAGATCTGAGGAGCGCGAGGATATAGTGGTGGGACTGCGACGAGTACCGAGGACGGGAATTGGCACAGATGCGGAGCATAGGAAGGTTAAGTTAGACTTGGAAGAACAAGCTCGCAGAATCGGCGCAAGGCGATCGTGGTGACGCGCGCGCGTAGTGGTGAGGAGCCTTCCGTGTCAGCTCGACTGGCCCCCGGGCCGCACTGGGGTGACGGTCAAAGGCCTTCCGCTTCGAAGCGTTTCCACAGGCATCTTGGGTAAAACGTTGTCGCGGTTGCGTCTGTGCAGTGAGTGAGTCGCCGCACGCATGTCTCTAGGATATCTCCTAGGCTCGAATCCAGCCTGTAGATGAGAGCGAGCTCGTCGATGTACAGGCTGGTCGATCTGAGTTTGAATTTACATGACAAGCGGCCTGTCCCCATTAGGTTATTCTCGGCAACTTCAATTGGAGCCATTTTACTTGTAAATATTTAAACCATGCCGCCAGACACTCAAATATGTATCTATTTTGTCAATGGCAAATATCCGAGGCCGAAATCTGAAGCTTTGAGAGCAGGAGAATGTTTTCGTGCAAATGTGTTGTTGTTTGTATCAAAGGTCGCACGCACGGGAGACGGTCCGGAATAGCCTTTTTGGGGCAGCAATCCGGCCAATACCTGCTACTGGAATTCCTTTCTGAACTCACTCGTCTGAAATCCCGCATTCCAAATGTCCAGCTACACCTCGGATGGGTTCCCGGCCACGTTGAGTTCGAACCGAACGAACGAGTGGATACTGAAGCCAAGGCCGCCGCACAGCGTGACGAACCGCTTGATCCCCGCATTCCCCTCCTCTTCCAAGCCACCCTCCCCCGCAGCGCAGCCGCCTCGAAAGCAGAATTCCAGGCACGCACCGTCGCCCTCTGGTCCAAAGCATGGGAGGCATCCCCCCGACACGAGAAATTCCAACGCCTTGACGACTCCGCATCTGTCCACTCATACCACAAACCCCTTGTCAACCTCTCGCGCCGTAACTCCAGCCTCATTGTCCAACTGCGTACGCGAATGGTTGGACTGAATGCCTGGCTCCACAAAATTCACCTCGCCGACTCCCCCCTATGCCCGACATGCCAACGTCGTGAAGATGTTCCTCACTTCCTATTTTTCTGCTCCCGATTCCACCACCACCGCATTCCTCTTCGCGCCGCCCTCGGGCGCAAAGCCAACTCCATTGGTTACCTCCTCACAACGGATAAAGGTATACGTTACGTCCTACGCTATGTACATGCTACCAACCGCCTCCCCGCTTACCGCGATTCCGCACCCCCCGAACCCGACCCTTGACCACCGACTCCCTCGCGATCCTCCCCCTCACAATTAGCACTTAATTTCCCCCCCCTTTCCCCTTACTCCTCCGCTTATCCCCCCTCCCCCTATCTCGCTATAAGAACTCTTACTTTATTAACTCGCCACACGACCTATGACCCTCCCACTAACATCTACCCTCTGCAGGCAACCCCGTGCGTTCGAGCCCTGCTCCGCTGCCCCGAGCGTTCGAGTGCGTGCTCCGCTACTCACGCGTACGAGCACCGGCTCCGCGTCCGCCCCGTAGTCCCCACTCTCCCTCCACACTTCCTCTCACGCCCTGCCCGCTCTTGCCCGCCGTCCGTGTCCCAGGCAGAATCTGGTTAGGGACACTACTACCCTGCCCGCCCAGTTAGATAGTTACATACCGCAGATCGTGTACCATAGTCGCTTACAGCGACTCGAGCACGTTAATTGATTTCATCATCATCATAGCCTTTTTGGGACAGCTCGCTTGTCATGTCAATTCAAACTCAGATCGACTGGTCTGTACCATCGACAAGCTCGCTTCCATGGTACAGACAGTTACTGGTCTAGAGATCTCCGTGGGCGAGCGGAGATTCAAGAGCAAGGAGAAATGATGCCATCGCAGGCGGGACGTGCCGGTTCAGCATGCACCGCCACTCCCTCAACTCCTGTTCAGTACTGCGCACCTGTGTGGGTGTTGAGCCTGACAAGTCGCGGCTCTGCATCCCAGGATTTTAACCTCTATTCTTTGTCAGCAATCTCAACTCCGACATCAAGTGGATACACCCCGGTGTGTTCGGATCCCAACAGGACAGATCGGAGGGCACGGGTATATTCGAGAACGCGATGTAGGGATCAAACCGGACAGCTGGGCATCCCTGTCAATTACTTACAATGAAGCCATTTCAGCAGGACCCCGTCCAATTCGGGAACCTATCGTAAACCACGGGTCGAAAAGTGTTTTTTTATTTACTCGAGTGGTGGTCCGCTGAAGTACATACGGAATCTTATCATTTCCCGTAGCCTGAACCATATTCGATGCAATTTTGACGCATACTGTAATGCAATATGTCGTAGCACTTGCGAAGTCGGAGTAATAGCTACCGCCATATGCAAATGGGATGTATTCAATAACCGTCCTCCGGACGCATTGTACTCCCCGCTGGATGAGCACGAAGATCAGTAAGGTTCGAGGGGGAAAGAAACATGGCTCACCCTCTGATCGCCCTCGGGAGGACTCGAGCCTCCTCCTCCCGCTCAACCCCGATCCTATACTCTAATGGATAGCGGGCCACGTGCCTTTGTCTACGAAGGCTGTGGGTTGCCGTTAGTAGCTCGGGGATCCAACGGGGTGAACCGATTATTTTTTGCCTTGCGCTGAGAAATACAGGTTTGTATGTATTTCTTGGGACGCCGAGTTCAGCGATAGTTCAGCTTGATTCAGTCGCCGTCCTTATATTTACAGACCGACCACGGCATATATAAAACAAAACAAAAAAACAGCACGAAATGACCCATGCCCCCAGGAGGATTCGAACCTCCACCATTGAAATCAGGACCGCAGTGGCAGATTATGCGGGCAGCGTCCCATTCGTCCATGGGGGCTCATATACCCTGAACAGCACCCTGGTGATTGAGGCGGAGTACATAATCGCACCCTTATCAAGGGGCTTGAGACCGGATTAAGAGTTTCAAGCACGAGGAACAGCGAATAATGGAGGGCTTCAATTGGTACTTCGCCGAGCCACTCCGTCTGCGAAGGCAACACTGACCAGTACCATTGCATAGATTGGGCGTGGAACTACGTACCGCGGGCGTGAATAAGACCTGCTGCAACAGGCATGACCCCAGCACATGTCCTGCGCTGCTGCGGGAGAATGCAGGGTTATTATATCGGTAGCAGGAAGTGAAAGTACCGAGGAAGAGGAGCCGCATTCGGATCGGAGAAGCAGACCCACTTGGATCGAGCGATGGTACCGAGGGTTTATGCATAGGGTTGGTCGTCAAAAATACAGGGTCGAAACAACGAATGCGCGCGAGCAGAGCTAGAGAGAGAGGCGGAGAATCGCGAGCGCAATTGAGGAGTCCCCGTGGAAAATGAGGGGATCGGAAAGACAGGAACTGAGAGGTCTGCCACCGCAGCGCGGGAGAGATGCAGAGGCGCACCAGGAAAGCTAGGCTGGAGCTACCGCGCGCCCTGTGTTAGGCGGTGGGGGTTATTTCATAATCATCGGACTTTGAATTGTAGGCTTCCGTCCACCGCTTCAAATGGACCTCCATAGACAGTTTCCGAGATGCCAAAGACCTTGCATTTGAATTCTGACAAGATTTACAACATTATAATTATTGTGTCCCTCATGTTCGACGAGAAACGAAATACTGCCCTTGTCACGTGGCCGGCCCATCAAATTTCGGCATTCTGATTTCGAGGGCCATGCGAGGGAAATGACTGGCAGAGTTCCTTATTCATAAGGCCCTCCGGGCACCCCTGGTACCTCTTAGAGACTTAGCTACATACCCTAAGTGAAGGGCCTAGAGCGAGGTCTCGGAACTTACTGCATGATCGAGAAAAACATTAGTGCTTTCTGAGGCGCTGGAAAAGGAAACGGTCTAGACCGCGGTCTCGGAACTTACCGCACGATCGAGAAAAAAACGTTAGCGCTTTCTGAGGTGCCGGAAAAGGAAACGGTCTAGATCGCGGTCTCGGAACTTACCGCACGATCGAGAAAAAACATTAGCGCTTTCTGAGGCGCCGGAAAAGGGAAGGGCCTAGACCGCGGTCTCGGATCACAGGATCACAGATAACGTGATATCTGACTTTGGGAATTTTTGGATGTAGACCTGGTCTCTAAATCGGTACCAGGAATTCCAGTGCCTTGGATGTGAATCCATCTTTAAATTATAGAAAGACACGTCGTAGCCATTGTTGAAGGGTTGGAGAAATTTAAGATTCCATAATTGCGAGCGCAGCGAGCAAATCTTCTCTGAATGGGCCATCTATGCGGGTTCGAACGGTGCCCATCTTTCCGGGCCTACGGTGGAAATTGGAGCTGTCTGAAAAAGGAAATTATTAATATGGATCCGCCGAAGCGCGGGGCTCGCGCAGGGACTCAGCACTGCCACGGTCTAGACCTCCAATTTAGACCTCCAATTTCCTTTTTCAGACAGCTCCAATTTTCACCGTAGGCCCGGAAAGATGGGCAGCGTTCGAACCCGCTTAGAAAGCCCCATTCGTCGCAACAGACCGTGGAGCAATATCTCACAAATTGAATGAGTTTCAGGGCATTTTTCCTCGGCTTCAAGAACTGTCAGCCATATACGTGTTTGTTCTTGTTTCCTGCATATGCTAGCCCTATGTCTGGTCACGTGTGTTAGAGAAGATTTGTTCGTTGCGCTCGCAATTAAAGCCCACCTCGGATCAAATTCCTCGGGTAATCGACAGACTACAACATCGACTCGCTTAGTTTCTGCCCCAAACCTTAAACCCGAAGTTGGTAATTTGATCGCGGCACAACGGCATGATCGTAAAAGGTTAGGGTTCGGCATGTCGGCATAACCTCAGCGCACAAGACTGCGGGAGTGCATTCTCCAGCTTTCACCCATCGTCGCAGAGGGAGATTAAAGAATGATAAAGGAGTTATGCACACTGATTTTCTTCACGTGCGCGAAGAAGATCAACAATTTGATGCCTCCCACCTTTCCTTCGAGCCGGCTCAGTGTACACTGAAGTTCTCTGAAGCCTCAGTGACTCGGTCATACAGTAATTATTGATAACTACACAAGTGAATTTCATTAAAACTGGCCGAACAAGACACTTGAATGCTCGGGCGAGTAGAAATAACCACAAGCGCCCGGATTGAACTTCAGACCAAACAAAATAATTACATCGGCCAAATCCCCCACTCAGCGTGCCAATAACCAATCCCTAAAGTATCCAGTGGAAACCAAATTTGTGGACGATACATCCCTCGCAGAACGTCTGTGGTATGAGGGTGCCGAAAAGGTACCACAATCAAATTCCCAAGTTGGGATTAAGGTTTGAGGCGGAAACCCAGGAGTGACAATATCGCGAGGTACGAGCGAAGATTGTTGTACCGTCTGTTTATAAAAGACTACCTGAAAGCGGGATTGAGCGAATCAGGATCCGAGTCCGGGTAGATTGAGGCCGATAACGTGTGTATATGACGGATGAATGTGGAGTTCGTGGGCGCAGGCAAGATATGTGCAGACTCTGAACGGGGAAATAGACGTGGAGCGGAGCAGGCGGAGCAGGCGGAGCGGGCAGACTGGAAGTGGGTGGAGGAAGAAGATCCTCGCGACATCACCTAGAGAAAGACATACAGCGATGGCCTTCGCAGTGTGTCTGAGTGGTGGATGGTGAGAACAGGGACTCAGGTGTTGGACGGGGGCAGGGCGGGATTCTAGAACAAGTGAATTGAGACAATTTCTTCAGACAGGGAGCCCCGCGGAGCTTTAGGGCGAGATGCGATGACATGCGCGCGGATGCTGGGCGCAGAAGAAGGACGTCGACAGGCAAGCACGCCACAGAGCGCGCGGATGAGAAGAATTAAACAATTCGCTGATTGATGCGTGCCACACCGAAAGGACGCGTCAGAGTTGACGAATGGTGGGACACACGCTCAGGAAGGCCCCCCCCGTGGCGGGGCTGCGTGGAAGTTATCATTCACGCATAGCGAGGGACAAGCACAGTCGGATGGCTCATAATGCATAAGGTTGGTTCCCTGCTAAATCAAGAGGAATTTTCCCAAATCCGATGCATTATGAGCATTATGCAGTATGAGCTCGCTTCTATAGTGGGGAAATGCATTTTGGTGGATCTGAAATCCTATGCATTATGAGGAAATTTGGCAGGTATGCGTTATGAGCTTATGCATCTCGAGCGATCCGACTGCATCTAGTAAACAGGACATGGGAGCCAACCATTTGCGCAAGCACCTCGAGTCGGAGATTCACGTAGCCGTGGATTCGATGTCTTCGGAGGAGAGCTGAGCGGGTTAAAGTTTGTTCGGCGCTGGCTCGTATGGGAGGGTCAACGACCCGCCTCTTGACGGCGATTTGACCGTGTACCGAGCGTTTTCACGGCAGCCGGAAGGTATGCATATCTATAGCATTTGTCGAGCAACCGCGAGCGAGGGCGAACGCACCAGTGAGCAAGAGGCAGCAACGGAAGAGGAGAGGATGATGCCATCATGAACCGCTGATCTGGTGCCGCTCCGGCATGCACCGCCACATTTCCCGCACTTCCACGTTGAAGCCACCGTGGGCACGGCGTTGCGTGGATTTGAACGCAGCCCTGGCTGAACTGTACTCCTATCGCTCTATATCTCGCACAGGATTCCCACCTAACTCAGTAATACACGCGGAGCTGGCAACTCGGTTGATCGGCATCGGTCGGCATCGGCTTGTGCCGAAAGCCAATGTTCGCTCAGTGGATGCCACTGGAGATTGCTGGCTCACATATGTACCTAGCGTCTCCGCCGTCCTCCACCGGTACCCACCGGAGCTCAGTGGCTTTCCTGTCACAGAACCACCATCGGTTCCCAATGTTTTCCACCGGGTTTTGCTATAAACCAGTTGTGACTCCAGTCCCAGAAGTGCCGCCGAATCACACTGGTTCCTGTCGTAGCTAGCGGAGTTCAATGGGACTGGTTGCACCAGCCAGCCACTGTGATATGGTGATACACTGGGTCACATTACTACGCCCTGCCGCCGTAAATCGCTGGATCCTCCTCTGATTTCGTGCACCACCAACGTAGGTTTATTTTTCCTTATTACCATTTGAACGGTCACGGTCTTGGGCTCTATCCATAATCCTCTGTAATGACTTGCGGGTGGCAAGTGGTGACCATTGCTCAAGCCACCATTGATGACGCGGTGCACAGTAAAGTCCGAGTCTTTGCGGTGGAAGAGACGGCGGGAAAAGCGTTCAATGAAAAGCCGCTGCGACTGGAGGTAGGCGAATTTGTGTGTTGACTGAGCCGAATCGTTTAGCCAGTCCGCGAATTAGACCATCCAGCGTGAAATCGGTTCGGCGCATTTCTGGACCAAGGCAATCTGGCGGTGCACCCGAAGTCCCATGTTTCGAGACTCGAATATAGTCGGTAGCCATCTCGAGCCATCGTCGGCGCCGTTTACGCTAATCTCTGAGCCTCATATGATCTGAATAGTAATTGCGCTACAGGAGGCACAGTGCACTATCGGAGGTCCCCCTGAGCCCAATTCAGCGTCGAGGAGCCAGAGCACTTGCGGCTCGTCGCGCCGCCGCCGGAAGGTAGGATTCCGTAGAAATAGAAATAAGGTCCGCCAGCAGACAGAATATGCACGAAAGCCGCAGAGGAGATATGAAACATGTCCAGTGGTTTGCATCGGGCTCCAGTCTGCTCCAGTGGTTTGCAGCGGGATTCAGTGGTGCTACGAGTCACGGCGGGCCGGCCAAAGCTGCTGGTGATTGACGGCAACCCGTATCTTATCTCGGAACCAGTGGCAGACAACATCAAACACTGTCCATCGATATCTGCCAGTGGCCACCGACAATCCGCCGCCGCCGTGCGAAGGCTTGACCCTTGCATTGACACAGCCATGGA